TTTTAAGACAGGAGCCGTTTCATTCTTCAGCTCTCCTTCTGGTGCTTCTCTTTCAAATTGTAGTACCGGAGGATCTGTTAAGAATGATCATATCAACATTGTGGCGTTGTATGCTTGTTGGTGAAACAGTATCATGTCATTATGGCATTTCAGACGTTGCCCCTGGAGAATTGTTTTCATTCAAGCCTATTCACCACTAGATTCAAATCGCAGGACCTCGAGACCATCACCTTCACTACAATGATAGGTTGGGTCTACTGTGTCCGCCGCCTCTCGCAGAACGGGTGCGTGTAAACCATAGCCGTGAACGTCCACCCGTTATAATATCGGTTGATATTGACGAGAGCCTCCTTTATGGTGCTATGAAACTATCAGAAGGTGTCAAAATTGTAGCCAGTACTATGGTGAAGTCGGTTGCTAGATCCATCTTTCAGGTTATCAGGTATGAGTTTACTTAAAGCCATGAGCATGGATACCATAGAGTTGACTTTGTAAACAATTTTTTCATCTCATTGTGTGGCCTAGTCACACAGTAACACAAGAGGCAAAGTAGCCTTGCACTATGCATTCTTTGGAGTCCTGTAGACTGTCCCTCGGAGTGCAAGGTCACGTATGAAACACCGGTGCAATTTGTGTTGGCTGGTGAGGATCTCTCCAACACTCCCCTATACATAGCCAGTGACATTGTCACTTCGATAGGCGCTACAAATTCCAGGTCAGGTCAGAGGCGTGTCTTCATGCATGCAGATAAGCAGGATCACAACACCCTCTGGAAGTTCCAGCACATTGATCCACGAGTACGGCTGGAACTTGAGGGGTCTCCTGTTCCTGTAAGCACTTAGTTACAATCATCATTGAGGTGGATGAATTGTTTAACAAGGTTAGCGCATCAGAGTTGAAATAAGGTAGCTAGAAAGTATGACCAGAACTGAGAGGTGAAAATGACGCATTGGACCCGACCGTAATATACTTTAATATACCTTTGACCTATTTACCTAAAGGCATTCGCTTCGCTGCGTTTGTTGCCACAATGCAATCACGATATATGACTTTTATTTTCTTTTTTGAAACTTTTATTTCCGCTTGTTACCTCCTTTATTGAACGAAAAAAGCGCTATACTCAGCCTTGCCGTCTTTTT